GAGAACAAAAAGACTATACAAAAAATTAATAAATCAAAGAGCTGGTTCTTTGTAAAGATTAACAAAATTGAAAAACCCCTGGCTAGACTCACTAAGGAAAAAAGGGAAAAGACCCATATAATCAAAATCAGAAATGAAAAAGGAGAAGTCACCACAGACATCACAGATATACAAAGGATCATACTAGAATATTATGAAAGACTATATGCCACCAACTTCAATAACCTAGAAGAAACGGGTAAGTTCCTAGAAATATTAACCTTCCTAGACTAAATCATGAAAAACTGGAAAATCTAAATAGACCGATCAGCAGTGAGGAAATTGAAACCACCAAAAATCTCCCAAAAAATAAAAGCCCAGGAGATGGCTTCACCAATGAATTCTACCAAACGTTCAAAGAAGATTTAAAACCCATCCTTCTCAAACTCTTCCAAAAATTTAAAAAAGAGGCAATACTTCCTAACACATTTTATGAGGCCAATATAATCCTGATACCAAGACCTGCAAGGATAACACAAAAAAAGAAAACTACAGACCAATGTTTCTGATGAATACAGATGAAAAAACTCCTAAACAAAATACTATCAAATTGAATACAATAATACATCATAAAAATAATACATCACGATCAAGTGGGGCACTAAGATGGTTCAACATACATAAATCAATCAATGTAATACGTAGTAACAGAAGGATAAAAATCATATGATCTTATCAACAGATGCAGGAAAAGCATTTAATAAGATACAACATATATTTATGATTAAAACACTCAGTAAAATTAGAAGTACCTCAACATAATAAAGGCTGTATATCATACTCAATGGTGAAAAACTGAAAGCTTTTCCTCTAAGATCAGGAACAAGACAAGGATGTTCACTCTCACCACTCTTATTGAACAATTTGTTTATTAGAAACAATAAACATACAGTAAAGTTACAGGATACAAAATCAGTATACAAAAATCCATTGCCTTCCCCTATACTAACAACAAAACTTCAGAAAAAGAAATGGAAAAAAAAAAACAACCAGTTCCTTTTGCAATTGCAATGGAAAGAATAAAATACCTAGGAATAAACTTAACAAAGAACATGAAAGACCTATATGCTGAAAAGTACAAAACGTTATGAAAAGGGATTGAAAAAGACACAACAAAATGCAAAAATATCCCATGTTTTTGAGTTGGAAGAATCAAAGTACTTAAAATGGCCATATTACCCAATGCAATGTACAGATTTAATGCAATCTCCATCAAAATCCCAATGTCATTTTTTAAAGAAATGGAATGAGAAATCATCAGATTTATATGGAACCACAAAAGACCCTGAATAGCCAAAGCCACCCTGAGAAAAAACAATGAGTCTAGAAGTATCAAGCTACCTGACTTCAAATTATAGTACAGAGCTACGATAATCAGAACAGCATGGTATTGGCACAGAAACAGACACACAGATCAGTGGAATAGAACAGAGTGCCCAGATATAAGGTCACATGTATATGGGGAGATAATATTCAACAAAGAAACCAGAAACACACAATGGAGTAAAAATAGTCATTCTTTTGCATGTGGCCTTCCAGTTTTCCCAGCACAAGAAAACTGGGAAGCCACATGCAAAAGAATGAAACGGGATTACAGTTTGTCCCTATGTACAAAAATGAACTCAAAATGGATCAAAGACCTAAATGTAAGACCCAAAACAGTAAGTTACAAAGAAGAAAACATAGGTACAAAACTTATGGACCTTGGTCGTAGAGAGCATTTTATGAACTTGATCCCAAACGCAAAAATAAATGAATGGGACTGTACCAAACTAAAAAGCTTCTGCACAGCAAAAGGAACTGACAACACAACAAACAGGCAGCTGACCAGATGGGAGATGATATTTGCAAACCGTAGCTCCAACAAAGGTTTAGTTTCCAAAATATATAAAGAACTCATGAAACTCAACACCAAACAAACCACCCAATCAAAAAGTGGGCAGAGGGCCTGAACAGACACCTCTCCCCAGAAGACATGCAAACAGCCAAAAGATGTATGAAAAGATGCTCAACCTCACTAGCAATTAGGAGAATGCAAATCAGAACTACATGAGATACCACCTCGCACCTGTTAGAGTGGCTGTTATCAGCAAGACAAGTAATAACAAGTGTTGGAGAGGCTGTGGAGAGAGGGGAACCCTCCTTCACTGCTGTGGGAATGCAGACTGGTACAGCCACTATGGAAAGCAGTCTGGTGATTCCTCAAAAAAATTAAGAACAGAGCTATCATACCACCTAGTAATCCCTCTCCTGGGTATACACCCGAAAAACTTGAAAACATGTATTCACAAAGATACACACACCTCTATGTTCATTGCAGCATTATTCACAGTGGCCAAGACATGGAGACAACCAAAGTGTCCTGTGACAGAGGACTGGATAAAGAAGATGTGGGACATGTGCACAATGGATACTACTCAGCCATGAGAAAGGATGAAATACTGCCATTTGTAACAACCTTGAGAATATTACACAAGTGAAATAAGTCAGTTAGAAAAAGCTAAGAAACATGACTTTATTCATGTGTGGGACATAAAACTGAAACTCATGGACACAAACAGCAGTGTGATGGTTGCCAGAGGGAAAGGGGCGGGGGAGTCCTAATATATGGTGACTGGAGAAGATACGACCTTGGGTGGTGGGCACACAGAGCAATATGCAGATCTTGTAACATAGAAATCCACACCTCACCTGAAACCTATATGTTCATATCAACCACTGTTACTCCAATAATTTTAATAAATAAAAACCTCACACTAAATCAGATGGATTTAACTGACATCTTCAGAGCATTTCACCCAAAAGCAGCAGAATATACTCTCTTTTCAAGCACACATGGAACATTCCCTAGGATAGGCCACATGTTAGGACACAAAAGAAATCTCAATAAATTTAAAAAGACTGAAATCATATCAAGCATCTTCTCTGGCCATAATGCTATGAAACTAGAAATTAATCTCAAGAAAAAAATTGAAAAACACGCAAAGACATGGAAGTGAAATAACATGTTACTAAACAATGAATGGGTCAACAATGAGATCAAGGAAGAAATCAAAAGACAACTTGAAAGAAATGAAAATGATAACACAACCATCCCAAATCTATGGGACACAGTGAAAACAGTCCTAAGAGGGAAATTCACAGCATTACAGGCCTATCTCAAGAAACAAGAAAAAGCTCAAATAAACAATCTAACTTCACACTTAAAGAAACTTGAAGAAGAACATCAAAGCCCAGAGTGAGTAGAAGGAAGGAAATAATAAAGATCAGAGTGGAAATAAATGACATAGAAACTAAAAAAAAAAAATACAAAAGATCAATGAAACCAATAGGTGGTTTTTGAAAAGATAAACAAGATTGATGAACCTTTAACCAGACTCAAAAAAAAAAAAAAAAAAA